TGTGTGTGTGTTTGCACGTCTGCACGATAAGGGGGTAAAATAATAGCCATCCTTCAGAGTGGAATCTGCCTGCTATCAGCCTAATTTTCATCTTCACTTTTGGCTACTGCAAAACACCAACTTGGCTGTACTGCTTGTGTGAGCCAGTTGAAAGTAAGTGCGTGGGGCTATACATATGTGTGTGTGTGTGTGTTTGACGCTTGAGAAAATTGAACTGGATTTGTTTGAGTGGCCTTGCTTACAGAAGAGCGTGAGGAGAAAAGGGAGACTATAAGTTTGACCTTGCATGAGTCTCTCATGACACCTCTGGTTACATAATAACTGTTTCCTTAGAAATCTGAAGTGTCCTTATGAGCAGCCAGTCAGTCACCTAGTTTCCCAACTATAGAATAAACCCAGTCTGTCATGACGGCAAAGTTGCACTAGGTAAACACAATTAAGTAGTGATTAAGAGTGTCTTCCCCTCTCCTGCTGTAAATTGAATACATTTGCAGGGTAAAATAAGTTAAACTTCTCCTCAGTTTTGTACCCTGGGTGAGACGCTAGGGCTCACTTTGTAAATGAGTCACAAAACAGATTTGATGAACTGAGACATGAATAATATAGTGCAATAAAAATACCATCACCTTTTCTTTCTTAGCTCTCATTATTAACCAGTACCTCCTTTCTGTAATGGAAAATAAATCACATCCTACAGCAGAGGCGTTCATCCCAAGACGTCAACACTCAGAGCCCTGCTGCTTTTCATTCTGTTCCTCTAATCAGGGAGTGATTTATACCTGGGACGCTGAATGAATGCAATCAACTGGCAGGTTGAATAGAAAGTGTGCGGTACTCTGTGTCCTGAGGACCACTGACCTACTGGATGATATGCATATAATGGCTCATTAGCAGTTTAGGAAATAGGCAGCCCTGTGGGACGAGAAACTCTCAGCCCTACTGCAAAATGTTTCCCTCCCTGAAGGATGAGGTTCCCATGCATGTTAAGGTCCAGAGTTCCCTTAGGGGTCTCCGAGTGAGGCTATATTAGGCTGGAATTCCCACCCTTTTAACAAATATCTTGGAAACACAGAATGACCTTGGCTGACTTGAGAACTCACACTTGACTCTCACACAGGTATACTGCACAGTCCTTCACTAAAAGACAAGCACAAATCCTCACTGTGTGGGCTTCCTACAATAAGATCTTATTTTGTGGGATGTTGCATGCCGTAGGAAAAAAGTTAAGGATTCTCTGACCCATCCTCTCCTTCTCCTTTGGGTCCCCTGTTCCTGTCATCCTCTTACACACAGAGAGTCCAGCCTGCCTACCTTCCAGAGTCACCTCTTTGCCGGCCCGCTTCAGCGCCTGCACAGCCTCGTCGTGGGTCGCGTCCCGCAGGTTCATGCCGTTCACAGACAGGATGGCGTCCCCGACGTACAGAGCCTGGGTCTGGTCCGCTGCGAGTCCCTTGAATATCTTACTGATGAGGATGGGCATTTTATTCTCCTTCCCTCCCTTGATGCTGATCCCGAGCCCTCCGATCTCCTGCTTGGTCACCTTGACGCACCGCTTTCTGTTGGCGATCGCCTCGGGCACTCGCTCCGGGAGGTCCGTGAACGCGGTGCGCACAGTTTGGGGTGCGTTGTTGGAGTTGGTGTTATTGTTATCAAGGTAAGATCCGTTGGTAACGCCGTTAGAGTTGACACTGTCGTTCAAGTTGTCGTTAGAGCTGCTCTCCTCGCAGCTTAACGTGAGCGCTTCCTCGTTTAAGTTGACCAAAACTTTGTGCCACCGCTCCCGCACCAAAACCTCCACAAATCCACTTTTTTGCACTGCGGACGCACCTGAAACTCCCGTCGCTATTACCACCGCCATCTTTGGAGCATTTCTTTTAAAATGACTTTTTTGTGTCCAGCACGCTCTGTCTCTCTGTCTCTCTCTCTCTCACTCACTCTCTCTCTCTTTCTCTCTCTCTCTCACTCTCTCACACACACACACACATTAACTTCCACTCTGCCTCCCTCACACTCCGGCTGGACTTTGCTCCTCTGAAGTTGTTCTGCGGGACTTGTCAGGCGTCCCGACCAACCAGCCCGAGCCCTTTCGGCACAAGCTGCCCTCCGCTCCGCCTGCCTGAGATCCTATCTGCTGGGTGGAGTTTGCTCCCCCCGCCGTCAGCCGATCCCATCCCCAGATCCTGCATGCACAACATTTGTTCCATCATTTCCCCCCAGAAGGTTTGAGACGTGACAGCTGATGCAGTTAAATAGATGGATTTGTTTTTGCGCATATGCGCGCAAAAACAAATCCAGGTATTGATTCACATACCGCCCGGCCTTAAAGGAAATTCATTATTTCGTGAATAAAACCGTAAATGGGGATTGTGAGCCATCATGGAGCTGAAGAAGTGACTGGGCATCTATTTTAATCATTTTAAAATAAATAGCCTAATCTAAAATATGACAAGAACTGAGTTTCCAGTGTTCAAATGTCCAGTGAGGAGTCCAACTCTGTTGTACTTAAGCGTGTTCACGTTGCAGACGTGAGAGCGGTTACGCGCGTACAGGAATGTGCCTGTTTTGATGGTTCAAAGACAGACAGAGAAGGCTGTGACATGGAAAGACCCCACTCTGGGGCGTTGCTCTCCATCTCCATTATTATTATTCCAAAGAAGTCCCTATGCCCTGTCAATCACTACAGGCTCGTGATGGTTCACATAAGTGAGGGGGCAGCCGCTGATAATGACTGGAGCCGCTGGGTGTCCTGACCTTTACAGGGGTGACGCGGGTTGAAGCCCAGCAAGTGACTGACTGATGCCGGGAGAGGATGGAGACAAATGAGGCAGCTTCAATCAGCCACCAGGACATGATGATATTAGGGGGGGAGACTACCTCAACAGCTGCTGTGGATTTCAATGAGGACTTGAAGTGCATAGAAGTTCCAGTTTCTTTGGATGTAACAACACTTAGATCTGTAAATACGCATTTTCTTTTAACAGCTGTCACTCTGGAGCAAGGCATCATATACAGTGACAAATGGCTGAGGGAAACCTACTCAGCTACTAGCAATGTAGCCACGACACCTACTGGTAACACTTTAAAATAGTTTTTAGGCGGTCTGTGAGGGTTCAGATTTCATGGCTTAACAGTAAAACCACCTGGTAATGAAAACGATACACAGTCATTCCAAATAATGAACAAACTGCACTCAAATACCTTCAACCTAGGACATTTTGCACTTATATTGATGATTATTTGTGATGTGTGTTGTTTTTATTGTTATTTTATTCATTTTGTGTTGGTGTTCTTTTATTGGTGATATAGAGACACGTTTCCTGCACTAGCACAATAAAGATTGTTCTATAACACAACAGAAACACACTTAATGTCTTCAAATTTAAAAACACTGACACAAACTGTAATTTATTTAAATGCACAGTAATGTTTTGATATAATGATTTTTTTATGAAGATGCACAGGTTAATGTATTTTATAGAACATTTGTGAATTTAAATCAAATGCACGAGTATACAGCCGAGTTAGAAGCTTTGCAGGCTAATTTAAAGCAAAAAGTACCCATGTTTTTTCTCTTACACTGACCAATAGCTTATGTGCGCTATAAATTGTATAGTCAGTTTATGATTATGAGTTTATTAGAATTCATTTAAATTAAAAGATTGACAGTGTTTCTATATTTTAACTTATATTAAAGGATATATGTGAATATTATGAGAAATAAGGGCATTATCAGATGTTATTATTAAAATATTTCAGTCTATGTGTCATAATTAATCAAATTATGTAATCACAGATATATATAGTTCAGACTGTACAATCTAGGAGCCAAGCTTCCACATTTGCCCGCCCTCTAAACTACATTGGCTCATTACTACTGAACTGCACCAAAGAGGGGATTCATTTATTTATTTCGAGAAAGACACGGAAACAGAAATACTAATACTATTTTGGCTTAATGAGGCATAGGAGCTACAATTGATTTTTACTTTTATATGGAAATTAGCTATCAGATGGAATGTGCATTCTTTGTTGTGGTAATGACCTTGAAAACAAACAAACAAACAGAGAACGCAGTCTTATTAAAGGTGATTGTATTTAAAGGTTGTTAATTCATCTTTTTTTAATTTATTATTTATTTTTCCATTGCAACAGGGAGCAGCTGCAGACACACAGTCACACATAGGGTTTGTTGGTGTATGAACTGGCTTTCTGGAGTAATTAGGCGCATTAAGTGCCATGCCCAAGAGCACTGCAGTGCACTCGTGTTACAAGGAGATTCAAGCTTAAAATATGGCAAAGGTTAACTAAAATGTTGGGACCCAATTTTGTTATGCTTTAAGAAAAATATAATGATCTTTAACCCGTCCTCCTTTATTACTTTCCCCTCACATAATGTTCTTTCCCCTCCTGATTTTCTCCCCTCTTTCCACCATTTCTCCACCCCCCTTATTCTAGATTTTGCTCACTTTTGATTTTATTTTTCTTGTGCAAAAACTAATGATTTGCTTATTTTTATGCTCCTTTTAGGTCTTCTTTTCCCTTTCATTTCTTTATCAGTGCTTACTTGCTCTTTTTGTTTACCCTGTTACTGAATAACATTTTTCACATATTACTTTTCACTGGCCTGCGCATCAAGTACACAAAGAAAAACCTTTTTCTGCACCACCATATTATTTGTTCTTTCAAGATTTAAAGGTGACTTTAGACAGCAGGCATTTACAGGCAAAGGGAATAAGGCAAAACTAAGATATTGCTCAGTAAAATATATAGGTATAGCAAGTATATAAATGAAATAAAGACAAACAGCACATCAGAAGGGGCAGGTGTATTTATAGAGATAGGTGTGGAGGTCAGGTGGTGTTGAATGGTTGGAAACACTGGAGACTACTGCAGGAAAGAGAGGGAATGATAGGTTGACTGACAACAGTGCCATACTTTTCCACTTAATGCAATAGAGCCTGAGCAGTTTTAAATGCCATAACCCTAATATGTGCAAAGTAAGAAAGGCTAATTTTGTATCCAAAGTCAGTATAAAATAAATGATTTAATGAAAATGTTTTGGTAGAAGTATTTGCAACGACAATCTTTCACCCCTCAAATTCATAGGAATAATTAACAATACTTACGCAATGTTTTAGACTTTTTTGACTCTCACAGTAAGAAGCCAAAGTCCAGTCCTGAATTTGGTATTCAGGACTTTGAGCTCCATGTCAGAGCAGATATCACACCATCCTCCATTGGTTTGGCAGCTTGGTTACAGCTACTGCTGGCATCATTAGACTTCTTGAAATACTTTCCATTTCTGTTGTGTATTAGTGGTTAAATGGTATTTGAAATTAAAATTAAAGAGTACAAAAATCACCAAGATCTGAAATCATGGGCATGCAGGCAGCAGTAAAATAAGAAGCGGCTGAAATACAATACGTAGCTTCAGCTTTATAATCCATTATTAGGTAATGCATCACCCAAAGTAATCAAACATTATTGATTCATCAAGTGAAAATGTTCATGTTTTTTTAGCTGGATAAGTATGTAACCTCTCATGTTCAACAATAAAAATGAAGTGATCATAATAATGTTACAGTGCAGGTTAGAAACATTTATACTTCTATCTTGAAGGTAAAAACATAGACGCTAAACTGTTTTGCAGAAGATAAAATATTTGTTGAGTGATTCATTTCAGTGGTAGACACACTCAAATACCCCTTTCAAGTTAACCCTTTAAGAGTGAAGACTTTACAAGTCATTTCACACAAGCTGACTTTGTTCAGAGATGGATTTCCTTTTAGTGTTTGAGTTGAATTCACTTAATTCATTTACGCTGTTAACTGCACTGTGACACACAAACTAACTAAAGGTGATACCAGGAAGTAGTAATTAAGGTTCTTTATGATCAGAATCTGTGCTCAAACTCATTTAATTTCATGACATAGTTTGACAACTGTTAATTAAAGGGTTAAATGTGTTGTGAGAGCGGATGGGTGGAGTATGAATCAGGGGAGGAGGCATCATTGCATGATTTACAGAGAAATGAAAGTTACCACAGTGGCTTTGCAGGGAGTTCAGTTTGTTTGTGAAGGTGACAGCAGAGCTCAGCATCACCATTCAAGAAGGTGAAGTTTAACTATATTTATATGATAAATATACTGGTATTGTAGAATACACGTAATGTATTACATATAATGAACACCTTTTATGCATTAATCCAGATACAGGTATGCCTTATGTTATTATGTTTATTTGGTAAATAGTTATTACCTATTTATTAGGCATTTTTATGAAACTTCACTTTACAGCATCAAGAGAGTCATGCCACTCTTTTCACTTTTTGAACTTTTAACCACCAGAAATCTAAAATGAACTCTGCTGTGTTCTTTGTTGTTGTCGTCGTTGTAGATATGGCCACAGCCAGCCCTTTCCTGTCTGAGGATCAGTTTTTGTGCTCCATCTGTCTCGATGTTTTCACAGAGCCTGTTTCTATACCATGTGGACACAACTTCTGCAAGGCCTGTATCACCAGGCACAGGGAAAGCAAAGAGCAATGTCAGTGTCCACTGTGCAACGAAAAGTTCAACAAAGGGCTCAAACTTCGTGTCAACACCGGATTCAGGGAGGTTGTAGAGAATTTCAAGAAACATTATGCGATAGCTAATAATAATCAGCCAATCAAACCAGGACAAGTGCCATGTGACTGCTGCCTTGACAACAATTTCAAAGTCTGCGGTGTGGAGTCTATTCTAATGCAGGCTCCCCACTTGTGGTGTTTTCACACTGAAGGGCTACACCCATTCCACAGATATTTCTTTCTTCCTGGGGACCTGGGCTTTTCTGAAGGGAGATTCTACTATAAGGTTGAGGTCAAAGGGAGGACTGGCTGGGATTTAGGAGTAGTCAGAGAGTCGGTTCTTCGGAAGAGGACATTCACACCCAACACCAGGAATGGGAGCTGGATCATAAGATTGGAGAATAACACCAACTACAAGGCTCTACATAATGTCCCTTTTAACTTCTTCTTGTCAAGGAAACTTGAGAGAGTCATGGTGTTTGTAGACTATGACAATGGACTAGTGTCCTTCTGTGATGCAGACACTGCGACCATGATCTACACTTTTACTGGCTGCAAATTCCAAGAGAGAATTTTCCTTTACTACAGACCTACAGAGGACGTCAGCTCTGAACAAAAGCTACATATATTAATATTCTTATTTTTAATTTTTCTGATTTGGATATGGTCAAATTAAACATCACATCATCTCTTAAGGACACAGTTGGAAAACCATGTGTGATGAAAATCATGTAAAACTGATCACTAATCGATTCAAGAATGTCACTGGATATTTTAGAAAAAGAGCCAAGAATCTGTAGAGTCTAGACCTTGAGCTCAAGTTTATACACTGGAAATTATCTACATTTGTTCTCTGTAAAGGGTTTTATGATCTATGTTGATATAAAGTATTGCACTGTTTATTTTTTTCACCTGTGTTTTAGTATTATTATTGGTTACTTACATTGATCATATAAATTCAACAACAGCCTTGAATAAACTGGGGATGCACTTGCAGAAGCAGTCTTCCAGTCACAAACTCATCTAGATAAGGCCACAGCCAGCTCTTTCCTGTCTGAGGATCAGTTTCTCTGGATGTGATAAATGATAAACTTATATTTGTTTATTTGTACACTGTGGTATTGTCACTTTTACATAATATAAGTACAAGATCCAAGTACTTTAATTTAAAGTTTAGACAGAAGAAATATTTACTTTTAGCCACTGAGCTACTGCATTTTAGGTTTTTATGTAGTCTGACTACATACTGAACATGTGATATGGCCTGGAGACTGTATAATTACATATATTAGGTTACAAACTGTCCTAAGTATAAGAGAAGAGCTTTATCTTGGATGCACTGCCATAAACAAACACTCATGACTCCCTTCAGCTCATTCATGACAGGATCCATGGTTATATAGTTGAGTAAAAAATGGGGGCTTTAAATTATCTGATCAAAACTAACAGGCTTACCATATAATACCTTATAATACCATAACCTTGGTGTCTTTAGGGTACTGGGGGGAAATTAAAGGTCCAGTGTGTAACATTTAGGATGATCTATTGGCAAAAAATTGAATATAATATCCATAGGTATGTTTTTATCAGCATATCACCAAAATAAGAATTGTTTGTTACCTTAGAATGACCCATTTTTATCTACAGAGGGAGTGGGTCCTCCTCTACCATGATGAACCGTTATGTTTCTACAGTAGCCAGACAAACTAAACGCTGTAGATAGTGCCTGTCACGCGTTTTGCAGCCACTGTAGGTTCTCCTTCACACTTGGTTAAATAAAGGGGTTTCCTTTGGTTGCAATCTGCAATTTCACAACTAGATGCCACTAAATCCTACACACAGACGCACACACACACCTATACACACACACACACACTGGTCCTTTAAGATGCAAATACTGGACACCTCAAGACCTGCTGCTATGAATGGAGATGTCTCTACATTGGTTGTGTGTTTTACATTACACTTATGTCTTAAATTAAGGAATTTACACAATTATAATTATAATTTGTTTTACAGTTTTAGTAGTCAGATATCTATATGTCAGTAAACACAAACAGGCTATGAGCAGCACTGAATCAAGACTTTATGTATAGTAGTTCCACCACTAACCGCAATGATATGATTTCACAATTCCACTTATATCTAAAAAACAGGTTTAATATTCTTTCACAGTAGTTCAATAGATGACGTAAGTGTTATAATATGTCTGAAGAAACCTGCCAGTTCTGGTTTGCGCAGGATTCTGTCTCATTCGCAGCATCCCATAACTCAAACAGGGAGGCATCAAAAATAAAAAAATACATGGTCTGAAAACACTTCAGTCAGGAACTTTGAACTGCTGCTTGCTCAGCTGTTCTAATATTTTATAGCTCCATCAGTCAACCACTCATCCAGGCAGTCCAGCACTCAGTTCGTCATTCAGTTAAGTTATCAACTATTCAGCCTCTCACTAAGAGATACTGTCAACTAACCAGTTGAGTAAACAGTTCTCAACACGCACACTGTGTGAATCTCATCATAAGGCCTGTTTTCCTCTCAAAGAGAATAATGAGAATAATGCAAAAAGGAACAATGCATTCGACAAAGCAAAATGTATCTCGATTCAGTATAGGCTTACTTTGCCTCTTGGATGCATTTGTATTTAAGGATTTCTTGAGATCCTCTTATTTAGAGTGAAATACAAACACAGAGTAAAACAATAATTAATCTACACAGTATGTAGCATTGGAGCACACTGTGAGTCTGTATTGCACAGCTGTGCTTTGTACTAAATGCTAACATCATGCTAACATGCCCACAATGAGAATACTAACATGTTTAGCAGACTGAAGCGTTTAACTTTATTACACCTCATCCTGAAGGGAGACATGAAAGTCTATATACACTCTATGGTCTGTACCAGTTTTAATGACAATCTATCCTATAGTTGAGACATTTCACTCAAACCCCAAAAGGTCAACCTCATGGTGGCAGTACATGACAAGTCACAGGATCACCAAAGTTGGTAGGATTCACCTTCTGAAGACCATTACTGTCTGTACAAAATTTTACTTATTTTAATTACATCAAATACTTATACTTATATACTAATATTTCAGTCTGGACTAAAAGACGACAAACATACAGACAGACATTGCTATTTAATGGGGTATGCCACTAATGAAAACTCTTAAATCTTAACATACTGTATGTAAAGAGAATTCAAAAGTAGAATGAGCTCCAAATCCTAGATCCACAAACATAACCGACATGTAACATTACCACACACCTCTGCTCAGCAGACACCAAAACATAGCTGCAACCAGATGTGTCGACCACAGTGTTGGTCCCCCACTGATCCAAAACTTCTGATGTGCTAAAGTTTCCACTGCAAAGCTATTTTAGGGAGCAATAGCAATCCTACAGGGGATAACAAGGTTTTCCACTGTGACCTTCCTGGTAGGATCAGGGAGAGAGGTCAAAGGGTCACCACCCACTGTCAGTGGGATTCGGACAGTTTGGTAACTCCTGGGTCCCATATGACAACATGAACATCCTGGACTGTTAAAAGGGAATCCAGAGGGAGAGGTCTACCCCAAATACAGATGTGTGAAAACTTTCAAGATGTGTGTTCATTTCTAGGGAAAGGGATTAGAAGGGAAATTTGTATTTTATTCTTATGCAGTTAAATATATCTGGTGCTGTGATCTTATTATTTCGATTTTATATTTGGTGTTAAGTGTCCAATTGTGATAAATGTAGAGAAGCCATATTGTTAGCATCAGGTAACAGTTGACATGCAGACTGACTACATCTACATAACACATACATGAAAACAGCATTTATAACATAACAGTGTGATGTAGGGCAATGGTTTGCCACACACAAATGAGAGAGAAGCCGGTTGTACGAGAAACCACATGCTTTATGCAAAATTTATTGAACATTTAGTCATGAAGACTACTTTCTCTTTATTCTTAAGTTTTTCTTCCATAGACCTGGACTGTAACATGATTTCCTAAGGCTCTTTTCCCACCACCAGCATCAAGAAAACAATGATTTAGTATTGGATATAATAAAGAGATTAAAACCTTGGTACAAAAAATACAAATTTATTTTCAAAAAAAAAAAAAATAAAAGTTTTGCAGTTATATTCAGACGGATACAGGAACAAGCAGAGTGAAGTATAATTCAAGTAGTTAGCAAAACGATACCACATACCAATATATGCAATCCACGTTTACATTGTTACCGATTAAAGCTGTGTATTTCATACACACTCAGTCAAACAAGCTATACAGCAAGTATTTACAAAACTTTTGTCATTATAAAAATAGCTGTTGTTTATGTGCACTACCTTAAACGAAAAAAACAAAACAAAACTGAGAAATAATATCCCTTTTAAACCTGAAAAACCCCATACATTTGCATGTATTGATGGGAGCATAGACATTATCCATTTTACAACAGGGGTAAGATTTCAGGCAGATGTTAGAAATTACACTAATTCACCACAGTGAGCTGTCTTTCATATGTTGAGCCCTTGGTTCGGACCAGGTCAAAGTACACAGTCCAGTTATTTCAAATATGTGTCCCATAGTTGAAAAATTGCCATGGCAGTGCCAGAAAAAGGTAACAGCTCAACCTATAATCCTTTATTTCCCTTTTGTCACTCTTTCTATTTTTAATTGATGAGATTTAAATACATAGTACAGTAGGTGTTTTGTATTTATTCTGAAAGAGGACGTACATAATTTAGGCTGAACAAAACACGCTGTGGTTTTATGTTCTTTGTCTAAAATACTCTTAATCATACCTGATTAGCCTAACATCCCTAACTGTCACTCAAACCGTCTGGTTGGAAAGCTTCAAGCAACCATGATACTCCTGTGTGTCTGCACAACTCTGTGACTGCACACCTTCATACTAATTGATCTCTTGAATAGAGGCTGTTTTAAGTTACCATACAATCTCCTCCAAATAAGTGAGAGCACCCAAAAACAACTGTCCAACACAAGCCTGTTGTAAATGGTTGGCAGCATGCTCTACCTGATCTTCACAAGTGGGGAGAATCAATATATCACCAGGTTTATGTGCTTTGATTCTACTTAAGTGAAGATGACACTTATTTGTCCACAGGATGTTACACAATTAAATCCCTCGCCAGGAGAGAGACAATCTCAACCTCAATAGACTCTCATTTTATGAATACAAGGATTCTGACCATAATAAGCAGATATAATCTTATTTTTACTGTGGATATGTTGCAAGTTATAAGCCTATAGATTGTACAGTTTTATGACTATTTTACTGTATATTGTGGACAGTCTTGTTTTAATCAAAATTTTGGAGTTAATGCAACCCTGAATTCCTGGTTTTACAGACACAGTCATGAGATACAATCTTCACTTACTGTTCATTATAAGCTCATTATGATCTCAGAGTGACTCTATAACCTCAAGCCGCTGTATCCCAGCTCTGACGGCTGCCACACAGTGTTTTCTCGGGGGCAGTGGTTGTGGCAGGCACAGGTCAGGATTACCATGACCGGTCTCTTGGTGGTTTTGCCTTTGGCACACTGGAACTCCACCACAGCGGTCTTGGTTCTGTGGGGGGTACAGCAGCGGCCGTCTGTGCAGGAGCCGCAGTAGCGAGGCTTGTAGGCCTGGACGCTGGTGCAGTTCTTGTAGGAGAGGTGGACGGCTGTGTCACTCCTCACCATCCTCTGGCACTTACTG